GCGGAGAGCCAAGGTGGAACTGGCGGAGCAGAGGGCCAAGGCGGAGCAGTGAGCCAAGGTGGAGCCATCGGAGCAGAGAGCCAGGGTGAAGCCGGCGGAGCAGTAAGCCAAGGCAGAACCAGTGGAACAGAGAGCCAGGGCAGAGACGGCAGAGTGCCAGGGCATTGCAGTGAGCCAGGGCGTAGCCAACAGAGCAGCGAGCCAGGGCAGAGCTGAAGACCACCAGAACAGAGCTAAGGACCACCATGGCTGAGCAGGCGGAGCAGAAGATGATGGTGCAGGATACCACCAAGGCGGATCAGGCATAACTGGAATATAGAGCACAGAGAGGTTAACAATGGCCTCAGCAGCCGTAACAAGACTGGCAGACAGTTCAGAAATGGCATCTTTAGACATTCCAGCCATTTCACCGTGGCTGGAATGTCAGAGAATTCAGAACCGACCTCCTTGGTCGGAACAGGACAGACTAAGAGTTCAGAAACGGCCTTCTTAGCCGTAACTGGATAGGCAGAGAATTCACAGACGGCCTCCATAGCTGTGACAGGACAGGCAGAGAGTTTACAGACGACCTTCTTGGTTATGACTGGGCAAACAGAGAGTTCGGGAGAAGCCTCTTCGGCCGATTCAGAGCAGGATAAAAGTTCATAAGTGGCCTCCGTAGCCTTGACAGGACGGGCAGAGAGTTGACAGACGGCCTCAATAGCCGTCACAGGACAGGCAGAGAGTTTGCAGACAGCCTCCATAGCCGTGACAGGACAGGCAGAGAGTTTGCAGATGTCCTCCATAGCCGTGACAGGACGGGCAGAGAGTCCACAGACGGCCTCCATAGCCGTGTCAAGACAGGCAGAGAGTTCACAAACGGATACAACTGACACCTCTGGAGGTTCTACAGGAATACCAGCAGGAAACAGGGAGAGCTCATTAACATTCTCCTTAACAGGACAGGTACAGAGTTCAGCAACGGTCCCTTTGACTGTGACAGGACAGACTGAAAGTGTATTGCTGGGCGCCACCACCATACCAGGAGCCAAAGCGAGCGCCGCCACCTCGGAGGGTTCTGCAGCCTCAGCCACCACCTCTGGAGGACCTGGAGCGAGCACCGCTATCTCTGGAAGTTCTGGGATAGTGAACACACCAAAAAGTGATTCCCATCATGGGAAGCGCTTCAGACAGGGGAATCAGTTCAGGAACAGGAGGGCTAGAGTGAGTGGGTTTGGGGATACCAGCTGCGCGTGCAGACACCAGCGGTGCATCCCTCACACTGGATACCAGACTGGGATACTGAAGGGTTGACCTTGATAATCTGGGTGTAACAGACAGGACGTAACATGACTCTGGATGACCAGCTGTGATGCGACGTGACTCTGGACGAACAGCTGAGACGTGACATGACTCTGGACGAACAGCTGAGACGTGACATGACTCTGGAAGATCAGCTGATATGTGATGAGATCCTGGGAGATCAGCTGTGACGTGATGTGACTCTGGATGAACTGCTGAGATATGACAAGACTCTGGATGAACAGTTGAGACGTGACGAGGCTCTGGCAGATCAGCTGAGACTTGACTTGATTCAGGGGGATCAGCTGTGACTTGACGTGGCTCAGGCTCTGGTTCTGGCTTGGCAGGCTTGACGTGAGCAGGTCCTTAAACAAAACTTCATCATAAAGCGTTACTTGATATGACAACTCACAGAACCAGTGAACATACTCCTCAGTAGATAAGCCTCCTTGACGAAGATGTAATAGCTGGTCTACTGGGTCCATGCTTGGGCTGGGTTGCTGAATAAAGCCGCTGGATCCGGGTGGGGCTGATTATTCTGTAATGTGGGAGGCGTGACAATGGAGTTGAGGATCCAAATGCAGCTTTTATTCACAAGAGTAGTCAAAACAGGCAGGGTCAAACACCAGCAAACAGGTACAATCCAGGGCGAGGCAAAAGAGCAATCCAATAAACAGTCCAAGGTCAAGAAACAAGAAGGCAAGGCAAGGCAAGGAAACACAGAGACTCGGAACAGGGTACAGACTAAACATTAATCAGCAATGTGTGTGTGAATGAGTGCAACCTTTATAGTGTCACTGATAGGAAACAGGTGTGGTGCAATAATGAGTTCCTACTAATGTGAGACAGCTGTGAACCGATGATGAGATCTGATGAGAGACAGGTGATGGGAAATGGAGTCCTGAGTAAATGGCAAGGTACAGAATGGAGTGCCCTCTAGAGGAGCTCATGGGCACTCCAGCTGGAGATCATGACAGGTACCAGTGCCATATTGATACTGAGTTTCGGAAACCCAACCCTAATTATAAATATGGGAAATATAATTATTTGTAGCTTAAGTGGATACAACATGTGCATTGTGTGTTACTCTTAATGGCTATAACCACAAATAAGTATTATAATACATTAAAACTGTTCTTATGATTATTTATGAGATGATACAACATATTATAAGGTTTTTTATAATGCATTATTAATTCATTATAATGTCTTATGAATACCATTACAATGTTTTATAAATATGGGCTTCATAGAAAGTGTTACTAAAAATGATTTTTAAAGAAAATACATTCATGTGGAATAAAATTTGAAAGCATAACAAGTGAAAGTCTAAGAAACATCAATACATTTCAATAATAGGACTTGCTGCTGGGCTTGAGCTGATGGTGCCTGAAATATTATTGGTCATTTATTGTGAAAAAAAAAGACTAACAATAACAACTGTAACATACAATATTGTTATCATTACAGTTGTATGAAAGGAGAGGAAAAAGGTGCCTGACATGTAAATAAAAATACATCCTGTCATCTCTGTATTTTTTTTAGATGACATTTAAACTATTTATACTTTTCAAACTCTAATTCATTCTTAATTGAATAAAATTAACTCCCATCCTACATTTCTTTCTCATTGTTTAGCCTGTTTCACTCGGAAATACTGTACAACAGATTACTGAAGTAAAATAGGTTGTGAATGGCAATATACACTGGCTTCAGTAGTGTTTGCTCTGTAGATTCATCTGCAATGACAAATCTAGATCTGACTTTACGTAATCTACTGTGTTGCTCTCAAGAGATGAGCAAAATGCGACTCTGACTAATGTGTCTCATCAAAAACTTCCTTTCATAATATACAGACCTATACTTCAGCAGAGCTGCAGGATGTCTTCCCATTTTTGTTATGACACCATCATGATATAAATTCACTCCCATGTCCTTTTTTAGCACAGCAGGACAGAAACTACTGTATATAAACTGAACATTATTAACATTAGGAAGGAACATCTAAATAATTATGTGTTACTCCTTCAATCAGTCTATTGATTCCAACACCTTCAAACCAAACACTTTTTTTATTGGAGTGGTTTTCTTTTCCATTTAAGTAAAGCTGAAGAAGAGAGAAGATATTTGTATGTGGGGTGTCACTGGGATAGGTAGAGCGAGACAGAATAAATGAGATTGTAGATCAAGTGAGGTCGGAGAAAAGGAGTGAAAAGAGCATTCCTTTTCTCTTTTTACGAAGGCTTTTCCAGGGCTCTGACAGGCATAGCATAACAATGGGACAGAAATAGCAAGTGTCTTTCCCAGAGGATCACCTCACAAGGAGCCACTCCAACCAGCAAAATGTTCATGAACCCACATGTTTATCTGCAATCGATTAAAGTGCTCCTTAGAGGTGTTCAAACACAATCAATCAATAGTACTGAAGACCCAAACATAAAAGCTACAGTTTTGACCAGCGGACAATATAGACATTCATGTGATAGTCATCAAGTAATCCATGACCAAG